GGGAATCTACTATAATATAATTTAAAAACTTTTAAACCATATATTCTAGTAGTTTTTCCTTTATTCATTTAAAAAAATGCTCTTTAAAGTACATTTATAAACAATTTTAAGGGCAAATAAGGAGAGAGAGAGATACAGCAATGTGGCAAATTAGTGTTTGGCTGTATAAATGGGTGAAATACTGCTACTACACCTATTCAAGAAAAAAAAAGATAGGCATTAAAAGTTACCTGATGCTGTATTCACTTTAATGTATATTCTTAAAACAATTTTCTATTGTTTTAAGAAAATATAATAGTCCATAAAGAAGACAGCACTTAAACAGTAGAAAGGAGTACACAGCAATGTAGCAAATTTCTTCATTTTGATAGTTCTTGGTTCTATATTTGAGTGAAAACTCACTACTACACCCATTTAAAGTAAAGAATACGCAAGGCATGATATAAAAATTTAGAAGGTGGCTATTAGGAGTCGCGAGAGAGAATCTCCGATATGCTAAACAGTGTGCTCTTTTATGGTACACTGTCCTTCCGTCGAGAATTTCATTTTAACAACTGATAATGAATGACTCTGCATTATTCTCTCACCGTCAACCTCAGCGACAAAACTGAAAATCAACTTTTTTCCTTCCTTTTTTTTTTATCTCTTCCTTCTTCTGTACTGTGCCAGCCTCCAGGACTGGGCATCAGTTTGCTATTTAAATATCAAATGCACATGTTGGCAAACGTGGTCGTTTGCTTCAAATTAATGCTCCTGTGTATCGCCAGTTTTCCTGTTTACTTTTCTTATCACGGAAGAACACTTCAGTTACTTCAAATATAATGAATTTATGTGGTGTCTTTATCTACAACATCCCCCTCCTTTTGCATAATATCCCATCCATCTGGGTGCTACAAATTTAGCTAGATGAGAAAATAAAATCACTTATATGAAGAAATTTGTTTCAAAGTTCTAAAGCTATATTTTCTTAGTAAATTCAAGCTATTTAAGGCTATAGAATTTTGTCAAGAACAGGTTATAAGTAATTTGGAGGGGGTAAAAATTTAATGTTTTCAAATAAAATGAAAAAATAAATTTTAAGGCTTCAGAATTCTACTAAATTTAAAATTTAAGACTACAAATAAAGGTATATAAATTGTAAGGCTATGAAATGCTATTAAAGCCATTTGCCTTTCAGTAGAATTGGACAATATTTTTCCATTTCAATTGAGTTCCTCAGTGAAGTCTTAACTCTACGTTTTGAAAGATAAATGAGCCTTTATTAAGTAATTTAAGGCGTATAATAAATATAAAAGGCTTTATCCGACAAAGATCTTATAGGGGAGACCGGGGCAACTTCGGCATGCGGGGCAAGTTTGTCAAGCGCTTTTTTTAAAAACAAATTAAAAGGAGACTTTGGTTATAGGTTAGGCAGTTGAGTTTTATTGGTGGCCTTGTT